AAGTGTCTTATACTTGTGGTTATGGCAAATGGGATTACTTTCTTCAGTTCTGTCTCTGTCTGTTGTTTGCATATAGTAATGCTATAGATTTTTGTAAGTTAGGTTTATATCCTGTCACTTTACTGTATGCATTTATTACTTTGAGAAGTTTTTTTCATGGATACTACTGGGTCTTCTATGTATACAATCATGTCATCTGCAAACAGAGATAATTTCAGCTCTTCTTTCCCTTTTGGAATGCCTTTTATTTCCTTCTCTTATCTGAATGCATTGGCTAGAACTTCCAGTACTATATGGAATAGGAGTGGAGAAATTAGGCAGCCTTGTCTTGTACCCGTTTTTAGTGGAAAAGCTTTTGTTTTTAGTGTAAACGCTTTTAACTTTTCCCCATTCAGTATAATTTTAACTGTAGATTTTTCATAAATGGCTTTTATTATGCTGAGAAACGGTCCTTCTATGCCAATTTTACTGAAAGTCTTGATTGTAAAGGCATGTTGTATTTTGTTGAATACTTTTTCTGAATCAATTGAAGTGATCATATAGTTTTTTAATCTTCCTTTCTGTTAATATGGTGTATAATATTTATGGTTTTGCCTAAGTTGAACAACCCTTGCATCCCTGGAATAAAGCCTACCTGGTCATGATGAATAAGTTTTTTATATGCTGTTGAATATGGTTAGCAAGTATCTTGTTGAGAATTTTTGCAACTATATTCATCAGGGATAGAGGTCTGTAGTTTTCCTTTTTTGTTATATCCTTATCCGTTTTGGGAATGAGGGTAATGGAGGCTTCATAGAATGAATTTGGAAGGGCTTCTTCCTTTTGGTTCTCTAGAAACAGTGTGAATAGAATGGGAGTTACCTTTTCTTTAAAATTTTTTAAAATTCGACCATGAAGCCATTGGGGCCTGGACTTTTCTTTGTTGGGAGGTTATTTATTGATTAAATCTCATTGCTTGCTATAGGTCTATTCAGGCTTTCTATGTCCTCCTGAGTCAATCTTGGTAGATTATATGTGTCCAGGAATTTTTCCATCTCATCCTGGTTTTCTTGTTTCTTGGCATATAGTCACTCATAGTATCCTCTAATGATGTTTTATATTTCTATTATGTGTGTTGTAAAGTTGCCTGATTTGATGCAGGCTTGACTTATCTTGTCCTTTTTCTCTTCTTAATAAGTCTGGCTAATGGTGTGTCATTCTCGTTTATCTTTTCAAAGAAACAGCTTTTGTTTTCATTTATTTTCTGTATAGTTCACTTATTTTCTATTTCACTTATTTCTGCTTGAATCTTTATTATTTCTTTTGTCTTGGCATTTTTTGGATTTTGTTGTTGTTCCTTTTCCAATTCCCTGAGACATGATGTTAGGTTGTCCATTTGCCACCTTTCCATCTTTTTCTTGTGCACACTAATTGCTATGAACTTCCCTCTTATGACGGCTTTTGCAGTGTCCCATAGATTATGGAAACTTGTGTATTCATTATTGTTAGTTTTCATGAATCTTTTTATTTCCATCTTAATCTTGGCAGTAGTCATGGAGTCATTCAGAAGTAGGTTATTTAGTTTCCATGTATTTGTATATTTTTGAGGGTTTTTCCTGAGATTAATATCAAGTTTAATTCCATCATGGTCAGAGAAGATGCTGGATATAGTTTCTATGCCTTTCAATCTGTAAAAGCTGGTTTTGTGCCCTATTGTGTGATCAATCTTTGAGAAAGTACCATGCGGGGCTGAGAAAAACAAATATTTTGTGTTTTTTGGATGGAAATTTCTATTGATGTCTATCAAGTCCATCTGATTTATGGTATCATTTAGGTCCTGAATCTCTTTGCTTATTTTTTGTCTCATTGACCTGTCTAAAAGAGATAATGGGGTGTTGAGATCTCCAACAATTAGTGTTACAGTCTATCTCTCCTTTTAGGTCTAGAAGTCTTTTCTTTGCATATTTTGGTACTCCTGAGTTTGGGGCATAGATATTTATAAGTGTTATATCTTCTTGGTGAATTAGCCCTTTTATTACTATATAACGCCTTTTGTCTTTTCTTATGGTTTTTGTCTTAAAGCCTATTTTGTCAGAAATCAGTATAGCAACTTCCACTCTTTTTTGGTTTCCATTTGTATGGAATACCTTTTTCCAGCCCTTCACTTTTAGTCTATATATGTCTGTATCCATGAGATGAGTTTCTTGTAGGCATCAGATGGAGGGTTTCTGATTTTTTATCCGTTCAGACAGTCTGTGTCTCTTGATTAGAGAATTTAATCCATTGACATTCAATGTTATCAATTTTTCCAGACTTGTCACTACTATTAGTTTGGCCATATTCTTGGTTGTTTTTGTCCACTTATTGCTGTCTGTCCGTCTTTCATTTTCTTGTTATAGTACTCCTTTTAGAACTTCTTGAAGAGCTGGTCTGGAGTTGATAAATTCTTTCAGGTTTTTTTTGTTGTTGTTGTTGTTTTTTAATCTGCAAATGTTTTTATATTTTCTTTCCACATGATGGATAATCTTGCCGGGAATAGCATTTTGGTTGAAATTCTTTTTCAATTAATACTTCAAATATATTTTCTTATTCTTTCTTTACTTGCATTGTATCTGATGAGGGGTTCAGTTTTCAGCCTGATGGGATAGCCTTTGTAATTAACTTGATGTTTCTCTCTTTTTAATCTTAGTATCTTTCTTTTTCTGTGGTTTTATCTAATCTAACTATGATGTTCCATGGAGAGGATCTTCATGGATTGATTCTAGATGGGTTTCTTTGTATTTCTTGGGTATGAATGTTTGAGTACCTCTCTAGACTTGGAAAGTTTTCTTCCAGGATTTCATGAAATAGATTATCAATGCCCTTATTAGTTTCTTTACCTTCTGGAATACCAATTATTCATATGCTTGGGTGTTTTATGGTATTCAATATTTCTCATTTATTATCCTCAGTTTTCTTGACCTTTTTCTTAGTAATTTTGAAAATTTTTTCTCGATTTTTTTTGTCTCCTACCTATGAGATTCTATCTTCTGCATAGTCTAACCTGCTTTTAATGCTTTTGAGGGAGGTTTTGATTTCTTGTATTATAGCCTTCATATCTAACATTTGATTCTTTTTATGATGTCCAATTCTTTCATATCATGGAAGGAATTTCTCATCTCTTGAAGCTCAATGTCTCTTTTCTCTTACATCTCATAGAGTTTTGTTACTATAAATATTCTAAATATTCTTCTGACAGTTTGGTAATATCCTCTAATATTTTCCTCCATGGGGATGAGTTACAGTGTTCCCTTGTGAGAGATGTATTACTTAATTCTCTCATTCTTGAGGATCTTCTCTGATTTTTAGTCATTTTGTTATGTATTCACTTTTGGCTATTTTTTTTTTTTTTGAGAGGTTTTTGCTATGGGGCACATGTGCTCGCCAGACAGACAGAGAGAGACAGAGAGACAGAAAGCGAGAATCACCCCTCCCCAGGAGGGATGGCCATGCTGCAATACCTTCTCCTCCACTCTCCTCTCGGGATCTTGGGCACGCACGCACATGCGCCCAGTGTGAGTTTTAAGCCACCAGGTCAGGGACGCAAACTGCGGTTGACTACATGGGAATCCAGCGACATAGTCATTATGCTAACTGCTGGTTCCACTTTTGGCTAATTTGTTGGAGAAGGATTTTGTAACTGTGAGCTCGTATGTTTCCCTTACTGTGAAATAATTTGGTGCTATTTTCTCCTTTTTACTGTGTCCTCTGTGAATCACAGGAGGAGTTTTGAAATCGAATTTATGAAGGGAAGTTTCACTCTTTTTACAATTAGTACAGTAAGGAGCAAAGAATTCTCTAGAACTCACAGTGTTCAGATGTTTAGCTACTATGCACTAAGCCTTCTCTAGGCAATGAATAAGAGTTTAGCTGTAACATAGTAAAGTAAGGTAAAAGAAAAAGAAAGTAGGAAACAGAAATAGAAAAATCAATGGAAAAATAAGGAAAGAACTAGCACAAAAAGAGGAGGAAAAAACAGAAATCACATCACAGAAAATAAAATTGGATTAAAAATGGAAAACCATGGGTCATACAAGTGCACCACATGAAGGGGCAGCAATGGCAGAGATGGAGGTACCTGGATGAATTCTGTCCTATGTGAGGAAAAAAAGACAAATTAGGAAAAGAAAAGTATAAGGAAGGGGACAGAAAAGTTTTTTGTTTGTTTGTTTTAGAAAAAAATTGGGGAAGGA